ATTAGAATAAAACCCACCTTATTTTTTGTTTAATGCAGTGAGAGATTAGTTTACCTCCCCACCTCCTCTCAAGTTGCTTTTCCAAGTAGACTTGTGGTTTAAACTGCACCCGTTTTGCTCAGCTCAGCACATTAAAAGTAGACAGGGTAAAAAGCAGCTTTAACTTTTAATAAGATGAGAATCAGGGTTGAAAACAATTAATTATGAAGCCAGTACTCATGGCTGAAATGTTAGCAATTTCTGCAATACAGTAAAATACTCTAAAGCAGTTTACCTACCTAGTAACTGAAACACATCCACTCACAGTATCTAAGCTAACTGGTTATGAACAGGATTAAAATAGGTTCTCTTGGCATTTCTATCTTGTCAGTCACCAGAGAGATCTTTCAGTATAACGGCTGTCACCAGCAGAGGTTCAGAAATCCCCTTTGTAACTTATTTTATTTACAAAGACACTTCAAAGTTTGTCCCAGAACAGAAAGACTTTTTTCCCAATGGGTGAATTTTCAGAACTATCAAGCTGAGGAAGAAGGGTACAGTTTTGGTTTTGGACAGCAAACAGGTATTTGCTTGTAAATACTTTTCCTGTTATACAAACTCAACATGTATTTTAGGGACGAGGACCTGTTCCTGTGTGAGATTTTCACTGATAGTAATCGATGGCCCTGATCCTGCTTCTTACAGTTAATAGGATGAGTGCCAGCATTGTCAGAAATACACATAGTGTATCACATACAGTTGGGGAAAGAAGAGAACTTACTCTCTTCCAGAAAAAGTTACACAATTTTATAACTTATAAGAACTTTATCAATCTTAGACATTTGTATAGCACCAATCACCAACAGTATTCTCACTAAGGCACTGCACTGGTACCCAGCTGTCACGGGGTCTGTCTCCAATCTGTGGTCAGTAACCACGTTTCTAGCTTTTGTTTTTCCTGATACATAATTTTTGACATTGGAAAACAGGGTTAGAACACAGAACATACTACATCACTTACAGGAATACTGTGCCACAGGTACAAGGTGCTCAGATTCTGAAGTGATGAACATTAATATTTCTGTGCACAGATTTACTGGTAAAAGAAAATTATCCTGCAGGTATCAATTATGTACAACACACTGGAACAGGATTAGCTTCAGTTCCTCTGGAGTTAATGACATACACCAAGTTAAATCCTATCCTCAATGCCATGATTCAAAATAGTTTTTAGATAAATGAAGATAAGCCCTCAGGGCTCCTGTCTATGACAACTGATCCACCAGGCCTTCATATACTTTTTCATCAAAGTCTGCTCCTACCAACTTACAGAGCTCCAGTTTCTGCCTCTAACAGAGCAGGTTTTGATGCTTTCGGAAGCAGATGTATTTTTTTTTAGTCTGTAGTGGATTTACCTCTCCACATTATGAAAAAAACCTCTTCAGGAGTTATCACTATTCTGCTGCATCACGCTGGCTGCTGAATATGTGTACTGATGTACAAGTTACTAGAAGTTCTTGGGTTGAAATAAGTTACTGCAAATGCACAGTAGCTGATTTTGAAACCACAACATCTCTACAATTTATTATTATTTTTACAAAATACCCAAAGTGATCAGACCATATTGTAGGTTACTGGCTTGCCAAAGGTTATGTTTTAAAATCAAAACCATTTCTGAGTTACAGAAGTGCCAAAAACAATCTTGAACCAGGTTTGTTTGTTGGTTTTGTTGTTTTGTTTTTTTAAACCAACCCCCATCCAACAAAACAGTTGTATAACTTAAAACAGAAACAAGTTTGTGTTGGAAACTGTTTAAAAACCAACCCACCAAATCATGCTTGAGCAGAAGCCTTGTATGGCAAAGATTTAGCTTAGGGCAATTTAGTGCCAAGATAGACCCTCGATGGGTTTATAATGGAAATACTGACACAACCTCAACTATAGTGATGCAAATGTGCCCTAAAACACTGTATTTTCTTTTATTAATAAAAGTGGTAGTGTTTACATTTGCAGGTATCTTACACTTCAGCATCACAATGAATACTGAGTAGAATGAGTTAAGTTTTGGCTGTAAGGTCAGAAGTTTCCAAACAGATGAATGAGACAGAAGTGAAAGTCCTCAATCATGAAAACAAGAAGTTCAAATAAATAAATAAAACAAAACTAGGAAATATGGGTAAGCATTAGGTTGGAATGGTTCAATTAACTGCAAATTATGGCCACTAAATTAGAGACAGAAGAAAACACAGTTACTTATTAAATAGCAAGCATTAAAGCTTTATGTTTTTGTATTGGAAAAAAAAGCTGTTAAAAATAAGACTTGCATTTACCAGGCCACCAAACTGCATGGACTAATAAAGAGACTAACAAAGGCAATACTGAGACATTAAGACACACACACACTCCATACTTGTGCAACTCAACCATATTCAAAACAATTGCCTTTTTCCTCGCTCAAGGAAAAAAAAAAAAGCAACCCCTGAACATTTCTGTTCATATAAAGCTTTAGGTTTCTTAAACT